TAGGGTTTTGGGCAGCAACAGAACAACACCACTTCTTGGCAATATCCAGCCAGATTTAAACTCTCCAAACCCTCTACCAACTAGGCCAGAGATCCTCTGARCTATAGAGAACYTATCTCTCCATACACTCTCTTAATCTAAGGGTATATGGGAAAAGAGGAAGAAGGAAAAAAAAGGAAGAAAGAGACCTGCTTTGATACCAAGTTGTATATCAGTCATAAAAAATTAGGTGTGAATTTGAAAATTAGAGAGAAAAAGGAAGAAGAAAAGTAAGAGCAGTAGTACAAGAGAAGATGGCGAAAAGAGGAGGAAGAAGAAGAAAGGTTCGAATAATCTTCCCTTTCTTCTCTAATCCTTCTTATTAAGAATTAATGTTAAAGTAATTACAAGTATGCCCTTAAGTGGGCGGCCAGCTAGGCAGTAACATAAAGAGATCAAACAAAAAGAAATAACAGGCCCATTAAGAGAGGCCCATCAGCTAACAAGAAAAGGAAAAGATATTACAAGAGAAGATACTAGGACCCATTTGGCTCAGTCTCTTTACACAATGGAAACCTCTAGAGCCATTTTCCCGGTAGTGAAGTATTTCTTTGAACTATGTTCCCCAGTCCTAGACCTCTGTTTTCTTTTGTCTTGCAAACTTGTTCCCACTCTACTAAATGGTCTTTCTTTTCATCCCTAGGTTCCCAAAGAAAGTCCCTCATAAGTTTCTCTAACTTCCTTGCTACCCTCACTGGAACTCTAAAGGTGGACAAAATAAACTGGTAGGTTAGATACAGTTGCTTTTATCAAGGTTGTTCTTCCACCAGTGGAGAAGTAATTCCTCTTCTACATAGCCAACTTTTTTGTGAATCTCTCCATCACTGATTTCCAAAAGGCCTCTAAATGCCATTGCTTGACCTAACACCCCAAAGTCTCAACTACCATTCATGTTTTCATCTTCCAAACTTATTCTTGCTATGCAACTCTTTCCCCAATTAATCTTCCATCTGGAGACTGATTCAAAAGAATTGATGATTTCTTGCAGATTTAATATAGACTCTTGATTGCCTTACTCACAGAATAAAATGATATCATCTGCGAACTGCAAATGTGTGATTATGATGTCAAATCTTCCTACCCTCTATACTCTAAACAGATAATTCTAATTGGCCTATAAGATCATCCTACTTAGGACATTTGCAATTAAGGTGTATAGGAAGGGAGATAGGGGATCCCCTTGTCCCAACCCCCTTTTTTTCTGGAAAGTAACCTCTAGCCACACCATTAAGCAGAATCAAATACTGTACAGAACCTAAGCGTCCTTTCATTGACATCCTCAACTTCTCCCCCAACCCAATTTTCTACATGATTTCCAGAAGACCATTCCACAAAGTCATAGGCCTTCTCTAGGACATTTGCAATTAAGGTGTTTAGGAAGGGAGATAGGGGATCCCCTTGTCCCAACCCCCTTTTTTTCTGGAAAGTAACCTCTAGCCACACCATTAAGCAGAATCAAATACTGTACAGAACCTAAGCGTCCTTTCATTGACATCCTCAACTTCTCCCCCAACCCAATTTTCTACATGATTTCCAGAAGACCATTCCACAGTCATAGGCCTTCTCTATGTCTAACTTGCACACCAAACTCTTCCCTTCCCTCCTCTTTTTTGTTAAACATTCATTGGCCTCCAAAATTTGATCTACAATCTGTTTTCCTTCAACAAAGGCTCCTTGATGTTATAGAGATTGCTAGAAATTTTGCTACACATTCATTGACCAATAAGCTTATTTAGTCTTCTTGCTAGAACTTTTGCCATGATTTTATAGAGGTTTCTCACTAAGCTTATTTGTCTAAAATCCTTTGTGACTTTTGCTTCCTTCTTCTTGGGGATTAGGGTAATGAAAGTTGAGTTTATTCCTTGAGATATTTCCCCTTCTAGATAGAATTCATTGAAAACTTCTAGTATATCTCCTTTGATCAAATCCCATCACTCCTGATAGAAGTCCAAGGAGAAGCTGTCTGGCCTAGGGGCCTTAGATCTTTCATTGAAAAATCCGCCTCTCTTATCTCATCTAAAGTAAAAAACATTCTCCAAAGCTGCTGCCATAGCTTCAGGTAACCTGTCCCACTAAAGATCTGGAAACAATGGGCTCATCTCCACTTGGCTCAGCTAAACACTCTTAAATGGTTAACAAAGGCCTTGATAATCACCTCTTCCCTGGTTATCTCTAGACCATCCACTTCTAGCCTATCGATTAGGTTTTTCCTTCTACTAGCTAAGGAGTGAAAAAAAAAATGTATTATCATCCCCTTCTATAAGCCACTTACATGTAGATTTTTGCCTCCAAGGATCTCTTCCTTTATAAGAACCTCTTCTAAATCACACTTTAGTCTCCATCTTTCCTCTCTCTTCTCCACTCATATTCTAAGAGCTTCTTTCTTGTCTAACTCAATCCTTGAAATAATTTTTCTTTAGTCTCCTCCACCTTCCTAAAGAGATTCTTATTCCAGGCCTTAATTTTCTCTTTTAATCCCCTTAGTCTCCTCAAGAATTCAATCCCTTTCTTCGCTCCTCTTCTCCCTAACTCCTACCACCAAAATTTGACATTCTCCACAAAGGTGGGGTCCTCCTACCACATATTTTCAAACCTAAACAGGGTGAGGAGCCACCAACTGAAGTTTCTTGAGCTATGCAAATAGGGCAATGATCTGAGGTAACTCTAACCAAGGCTTTGGATAACAAGTCCTTCCACATAATCTCCCAATCCACTGAAAAAAGGAACCTGTCTAGCTTAGAGCAAACCAGGGAGTTTTGGAAATTTGGCCAAGTGTAGTTAGCTTGCAATAAGGGGAGCTCCTTCAGTTCAAAAAGATCCACAAATTCATTAAACTTCCTTATACCTGTAGGCTGTACTTACTCTCTAGCTCAGATTATTTGTCTCTGATGAAAACCTATTACATTGAAATCACCACCCAAAGACCATGGTCCCTCCCACAATCCTCTAACTGTACTTCAACTCTTCCCATAATTGAACCCTGTCCCTATTTGAATTTGGACCATACACATTTGTCAATGCCCATTCCTTACCATCTGTCATTCTTCTGAACTTGATTGACAGTGAGAATTGCCCTACTAGTTCCTCCAATCCTTCAAACTTTATTCTTCCAAATAGTAAGGAGTCCTCCTGAGGCTCCACAAGATGGCAGATACCCAACTCAGACCCCTTGACCTCAAATGCTCTTAATCCATTGACTGGTCCAGAGTGGATAGCTAGGATTTCTCCTTCCAGGTGGTATCCGCTGAATTTGAGCTCTTTTCGTTGTCATAGTTGTATGAGGCACTCAATCTCATGTTCTCAAGATGTCTGTAGAAAGGGTGCAGACATGTTCAATGTCTTAATCCAATGAACAGCCTTAACCAGAACATTCTCAATAATTGTTTCCTTAGTTCTTTTCTTTCCCTTGAATATTCTTTCATTTCTTTCTTCCCATGCCATCCAAAGGATGGCTGCCCATGTGCATTTCCACAATAACTTTCCCCTCCTTCTTGGTAGTGTGATGAAAGATGAGCTAAATGGATCCTTTGCATCATTGGAGGGGGGACCTGCAGCTCAAAAGTGAGAGAAACCAAGTCCAAATAGACAAAAACACAGGAAATTAGTAAGTGGTGAAATGTCTCTCCTGCAAAACAAAGGATGCAAACATAGGGAGATAAACAACAATTAAGTCTTCTCTTTTGGAGAGTATATCAAGTGTTAATCTTCAAATGAAAGACCTCCCAGAAAAAATCCCTAACCTTTTGGGTTGTAGATTTTTTTCACCTAGAGTGGTTGTATCAAACTATTCCACTTAAGAGGCAATGATGTCTTGGAGGAACTGGAACTTCCATATAAGTTTGTACAATCTCCAGACACTTGAGTGAGCTGGTGGAGATCCATTTTGAATGCATGCTAATATGGTTGACTGTTTAATAGAGTTAACAAAAGGTTGGAATCGTATTTTGTTTTCCAAACATTTTGAGTAGTGTAAATAAAACTTTGGGTTTAAATCTTTTTTGTATAGAGGGGGATATAGTAAATTTTCTTGTCGAGTACAATGGCATTGTTAGTCCTGATTTTACTTGATGATAAATCCTTGACATGGAAAAACTATCCATTTAGATTTTTATTTTCCATGAACCTCATATTGAAACTAATAAATTCATGCATTTTTTTGATAGGTCTAATAAATTCATGCTTTGTGTTTTACTTAAATATCCTTCAAAGGGTATACTTTAATCCACAATCTTTCTTTCTGAATGAGCTTATTTAGACTTTTGTGGAGCTCAATCCACATGGTAATTGTTTTTGGAATGACATGTTCCTATGGCATTTCTAAGCAATTGGTTACTGATATGTTTGCACTGTTTATTCTGAACTAGGACTTGTATTACAGGGCCATCTTCTCTTGGCAGTTGATTTTGTATATCGCCACAAAGACTGCTTCTTTGATGTTTTATTGCTCTCCACAGTAAGTCAACTCGCACTCCGTTCTCCAGTTTTATTCCTGTCATGTAATACCTATAATACCCAGGTTCCCATACAAGGGTGGTGTATCATGAATGGTATAACTTCCATAAGCAATACTTTGTCCATCTGCGCCCTTGCCGTATCTGGGTAACATTGGTAGCTAATATTTTGGCTGAACTGTATTTCCATTCTTTCATTTTCCCTACATGCCCAGGAACCTCATGATTAACTTGGAAATGCAGGTGGCAACAGCTAGTCAATTTTACATTTCTTACACAATCCGCACATTTGGAGCTCTCACATTTGCCACAATAATGACCACAAGACAGGTAAAATAAAGCCAAATGCTACTCTTGCACTTGTGTCAACTAGGTTTTGTTGTCAAAATGGACCACACATGTTTAGATTCTAAAATTCTCCTTATTGGTGAAGTTGGTGAGCATCATGCTATCATGCGTGTGGTTTTCACATCCTTTAAGCTGGAAACAATGGATTGGAGCGGTAAGCTTTAACATTAATTCCATAATTAGTTATTAAATGCATGTGCTTTGATGATCAGATGTTTCTTTCTCCCCCTACACTTTATCCAGGTGAAGGGGAAAGTTATTTAGTAGTTTGAAGTCCAATAACACTTTTCAATGCATGACCAGACTATTGTTTTCGGCTCCCTGTATGCGAAAAGTTTTCTAAGTGCACCTAAGAAGCCTGTACCTGAAAACCCTGCATCCCCAGTACATGCACAGAGCGGTGGTTCTAGATCACAGAATGACAAACCTTGAATGTTGATCTCATGATCTGGATCTTCACTCTTATCAGATCTCTCAAGTTGCCTTCCTATTTGTTCAGAGTCCAAGTGACACCATTTCACGTTGCAGAGATGGATAATGGAAGAATATGGGCGGATCAGAAAGAAGAGCTTTGTTCAAATAGAGTTACGTGCTTTGTTTATTGTCTTCACCTCAAAGGCCAATCAAAAAAGCAATACTACTGAGAAGTAATCATATCCCGAGCCCAAATTTTCTTAGAAAATATTAACAGTCATATATATAGCCGAAATTACCTAACACTTTCTAAAGCAAAACTTTTTTTTTTTTCCTTTTGAATATTTGGAACCTTTTGGCCATGATGATGCAAAATTTTAACAGCTGTTGCATTTCATTGGTCAAGAAGCATATGATATTGTCGTTGTCTGTATGAAATCTTCTTTTTTTCTTCTTTTTATTTGAGAAATATAGCCCTAACCTTGCTGCAACTGGTTGAAGCTGAACGATGCTTAAGTGGAAGACATGAAAGCTTCAACGATCATTTTCCAAAATTTATATGTTGAGAATTACTTCTTTCAGTAAACCTATTTTCAATCAAAATTTGGCTTCATCGATTATATATGATGGTGTCTCACATTTGAACAGGTCAGTTAGAGAGAGAGAATCTTGTAAGCTCTATATAGCGATTAAGGGTGCGTGCCCTTGGGTCTGTTGTGCAATTCTTCGCCATGCTTAGGGTTCACCTATTAGCACTCAGCCGTGCTATATATGCTCAGTTTTAAGCCCCGTGTAGGACGAAATTATTGATTTTCAATTTCATGCGGTTTTACCATCTCAAGTTTTTATATTATTTTATTTATTTTCCTAAAACCACTTTAACTTTTTATTTTTTCATTCTGCCTTTGACTATATGATGCTAAGGCGTTAGAAAAAGCAAAGGCGACTCCTTAAATGTGTTGAATATCATGGAGAATGAAAGTATATGTATTTCACTGAACGTTTTTTCTATTGGGATTATAGTTGATAAAGGGAAATTTGTGGGCCTTAATATTAATAAAAATAATTCTTTTAATATAATTTTTAAAATAGATTAATTTTTTAAAAAATATATTAAATAAGGGCAAAAATACTGTTCACCTTCTTCCTCCTCCAAACCACCGAATAAATTTCTCTCAAGATTAATAAATATTTTTCCCATCTTCCTTTCGTCCCAGTCCCACAAACCTCAATGACCACCATCCACCAGCGTTGTTGYCGTTGCCTCCGCCCACCTCCGGTAATGCCAATCTGACAACATACCTCTACTACACCAACCAATGGTGGGATTGGGATGAGTATGTTCGAGTGGAAGAGAATAAACAAAGGCTTTCTGAAGACAACAAGGAGATCGTCGTAGTCATCAATGTCACCGGCTTCATCTTAGTGCAGCTCATCAATGATGGAGTGGGCAAGTAGTATGGATGAGAGTGAATTGCAAAGCCCATCTGGATTTTGTTTGCTGGTTTATGCCTGGAGGAATTAAATTAGAGATCGATTGGTGCATCCACAGAACAAGGTTTTTGTTGTTTACCAGAAAGAAAAAAGAACAGGGTTTTGTTTGCAAAACCCATTTGGGTTATGGATATTTAGTATTTCTTTTTACAAGTTGTAAAAAAGAAATATTGAATATATTTTTAAAAAGAATAGTGTTATTTCCCTTTTTTGATATATTTTTAAAAARTTAATTTATTTTAGAAATTATATTAAAATATTTATTTTTATTCAGTGGTTTGGAGGAGGAAGAACGGTGTTTTTGCCCTTTTCTGATATATTTTTGAAAAAAATAACTTATTTTAAAAATTATATTAAAAGGTTTATGGCCCAAAAGTTGCCCGTATCAGCTATAATCCCTTTTGTATTTGCACTCTTTCTAAACATTTTGAATTTATAGGGAGTCTGGGTCTACTAACAATTAAGATTTTGGCCATAAAGACCCTACAGCTACACATATGGAATCTCTTGTACCTGTTGTAATTCACAGGGTGATGTTTTTCCTGTAGTGTCTTCACATAGTTTGTGGCCAAGTAGGCAAATCTAAGGAGGCTTAAATTGGGTAAGGCCTGCCTTTGATGGGCCACTTGAATATTGATACAAGGCCCAATTCCCCAAGTTCAAAAGAAAATAGGGGGAATGACAGTTCAGCCCAGAGTCAGAATTTTTAGGCCCAAAGTACAATTGGGGTAAGTGTCAGCTTGGAATTGATGCCAATTCACTGGCGGCCATTAGTGTATATTGTGGGGGTATTTGACATTTTGAATTTTTATAGATTTGCAGTAGAATTCAGAAATCTGCATTGGGCTTTTCCGAAGAAAATATACATTCATTGAGGTGATAAGAAATCACCCAAACAGAGGAAAAGCCCACCACCTCCCATTTTGAGCTTGCTTAATTACTTTTTTTATTTTTTGTTAAAGAGTTTGCTTAGCTCTCCCGATTGAGAGTGCTTATTGATTAAATAAGTGCTTATGGGGTAGTATAGGTATTTTGAAAATTATGTGGCGGGCAAGATGGGTAAGAAATGCAATAAGCACTTTTAAGGCACTTAACATTAAGCCGAATATGTTGACTTATTTAAATCAAAATGGGCTTATTTTCTGCAATAAGCCGTTATTGATTTTCTTCCAAACTCACATAAGTGCTTATTAGTCCCGACTGGAATAAGTTCTTAAAAATAAGCACTCCCAAACGAGGGCTTGGTTTCTTTCTTTCCAAGAAAACTGAATAAACACTGAAATACAAAGCAACCCCAGGCCAAACCCCTCCCCTACCATAAAAACCAATCAAACTATTACAAAACAAGAAAACCCTTGTAGCACTATCTCCTAAACCGAACTTCAAGCAACACATAAGCCTTCAAGCAAACCATAATGTGAGATGGAGCTGACACATACGCCAGATTAACAAAAATCCAAACAAAAAATGAGAAAACAATATTCACAAACACCAGTTAAATATAAACGCCTAATTAGACAGTGCAAAGACCTAATGCCACCCACTTTAATTTTCATTTGGAGCTAGCCCAAGGATCAGGTAGATGATGGATCTTTTCCCTTCTTTTTTTCTCTTTTTTGCTAAATCCATGATGCATCATTTGGCCAAAGAGAGTATAAAATCTAGAATAAAGTACCTTGTTTTCCTGAGCGAACTGCTTGAGCACTTGATCATATGCTAATGGTGTGTTAATCATGCATGCATCAATGTAGGCTTGTAGGGCAGCTGCACACTGTTTCGCGTCCGCACGAGCAGTCTCCAGCCGTGCTCTCTCATCATCCCTTGGTGGTGTCTCCCCAAATACTCCAGGCATAAGTTGGAACTTCCATGGGTTTTGCTTTATATCACATCACAAACCGTTCTGATCTCAGTATCTTGATACCCTCCATACTGAGCAAGTTCTTCCCACCATCCTCTGGCTTTTAGGCTGGTGATGACTACATCTGGTGTTGAGATTAAGGCACAACCAGATGGTGCATAATAGCTCCCAAGTTTGAGAGCTTTAGGTAGTGAATCTCTTTGTGCTACAATGACATCATGAACACGCTTTGGTGTTATCTAGTGAAGACAATCGCCATACATCAGGTTCTTGGACATGTATCCTGCTATCTGTTCTAGATGGCAAACCCTTAGTATGCTGCTGGCTTGTATTTCATACTCTGAGGCCTGTCCTGATTGATAAGTAGATCCACAAGTTCTATAGTTGGGTTCCATGATGAAGGGCAGAATGTCAGCTGCACGGTTGGCATCTCTAATGTGGTTATTGATTTCTTGGAAGTCATCTGTAAAGAGTTGCTCTGAAATCACCCTAGCTTAAAGGCCTCCATCCTGAGAAGAGCATACTTAACTGCATCAGGATTATTTATTGCCCATTTGCTTCTTTCATGAGCCATATTAAGAGTAGTAGTGTCTGTTGTACCCACTCCTTTGCCTACGTTCTTGGGTCTACAGCTGTATAGGCAAAGTTGGCTGGTATTAATAACCACCTACCTCTAGGAATTTCACCAACATTGATTGCTTCATTTGAAAAATTACCATACTCTTTAAAAAAGTTATAAACTTCGATTAGATCATCATCAACACAGTCTTCTGCTATATTACCATTTCGATCTAGCCCAAGATCAGCATTAGCTAGATTACTAGTATCAAGTCTATCTGAGAGCTTCCGCTTTGTACCTGAAGACTGTCCAGTTTCTGTTTGTGAAGTCTGTTGGTTATCTGTTTCACAGGGTGGAGTGACATTCTCTTGAGCTCTTGTCTCATGATTGGTCCCCCGTCACCTGTGTTGCCCTGGTCCTCGTTCCTGGGTATGTCACCACAACCACTGTTTACTTCACTAGACATGATTTCAGGCTCTTCTTGGATAAGAAAAGTGATAACGGAAGCAATACTATCTTCTGGCCAAATGTCCCTCGCCAATGGGGAGTTTGTATGGCTTGGATTATGGTCAAGACCTGGATTGAGTGGCTCAGATCTGTTAGCTCTATGCTGAGACCTGGGGTCCTGGCCCAAGTAACACACACCTCAATATTAGCTTAAACGTGAATTAGAATATTTATCAAATAAAAAATTTTAAATTTAGTATACATCTTTCTGTAGTTGCAAGTACTTGTGGCCTCACTGCACTGACAGCACTACTAAGAACTAACAACTGTGACTGTCTTGCTGTTGCATGTAGTTCAATACTTCCCTGAATAAAATTTTACATATTGCATAGTATGTATTAGCTATTTGACCATATATTATACCATGATGTGGTTGAAAATGCACACTTAAAATTCACAACAGAGATTTGAAGCTTCTAAAATCCATAATACTTCTTCCTCCCCCCAAGGATGAAGCAGCTGAAGATTAAGGAATGACAAATTTAATGGAAAACTTAACAATTTAAGAAGATTAAGGAATGACAAGTTTAATGAAAAAAAAAATTCACAAATTAGAAGAGACACCTGCTTGAAGAAACATAAAGCAGGTTTCAAAATGCTGTCCTTCTAAGCTTCTGTCAACCCCCACAGAGATGATTCTCCATGCAAATGGTACGTAGCATTCACTGCTCCATCCACATTACCCTTCAAGATGGAACTTGGAAGATTCAAAAAAATTAAATGATTTCTTATATAATCTAGCTACTATACAATTATTTAATAATATATCCCTGAAATTTGATTCAACATAGAAGGCATATGGAACAGGGGGTGTTCAACTTTCTAGTTTTCTAGCTAGACAGGATCTAGCATTTAACTTGAGTAAAAAATTCTGGGATCAAATTAGGTTTTTGGATGGATTAATTGTTTGAATCCCTAAATACCATAATTTTATCAAAATTATGAGACTTATGCTTGTTATATGGTGAGATTCAAACTGGGATCGTATGGTTGCAGTGAGTATATCAAATAATTTAGTTAAAGGCACACCTGAAAATTGTAATAGTTCTACTAACTGTGGGGATGTATTCAGAAAAAAATGTGCAGTTATAATAGAATTATTACATCAGAGTTTGAATATCTCTATATTGTTTATGTCCTGATTACTTTTTTCCTAGTAAGATTTGAAATGGTGTATTCTTGTCATATGCAGCGATGGACCTGTGCTTTAAATGGAGATCAAGAATACCCAATTTTACAAAAATATGACATAAATTTATGGTGGTTTGTCTTGGTAGCCAATGAATCGTCATTCTCCTACAACATGTTTTGCACGGTAGTTTGTCTTGGTAATACAGTGGAGTTTGACTCTAGACAGAGGAGCAGATCAAAACACAATGCTTTGACATTGTGTATGATCTCCAAGGCTCACTTTGGAAAGAGTACAAAAACATACAAAATAATACGAAATACAAAGTTTTGCATTCTACATATTTGTATATTTGTATTTGTACTCTTTCAAAACTAAGCCTAAATAACATTTGCACCGGTATTGATGCTCAAAGAATACCGACTGTATCCGGTATTGAGAGAAAGAAAGCCCGTTTTGTTTTGAGTTGAGAGAAAGAAACCGTTACCTGCAAAAGCCACCGGAATATTGCTGCGTAGAGATCGCCGGTTTCCGGTGATTTTTGGGCTCCAACTCTGGCGTGCTCTCGGTTGTACTAACTGCAAAGTAGAGTGAGACTATGAAGAGTGATGATAATCTGGTAAAATATGGAAGCTATTAATGAAACCGTGAAGTGGGATGGTCAGGAGTGAAGAACAACTTGGACTACCACCTGTCATTGAGGGAGTTAATGCTAAATCCTAAAAGATGTAAATAAGTGTGAATGCAAATATATAGTGTAAAACGGTTTATCTAATAAGGTTGCGTTTTGAAATGATGCAAATGGAGTGTAAATCTCGGATCAGGGTAAATTTGCAATTTAATTTACTTTTTCCTTTGTTTGGCAATATTACATCTATGCATTGACAAATGACAAAAAAAACACAATTTCCAATGCATTTATGCTTTATTGGAATTATTGTTTGCATCCATTATAGCTAAATGTACAAGGGTCCGATTGGTTTCTTTGTTGGGATTGGAATTGAATTTGGAATTGGAATCCTCTGGAATAGGAATTGGAATAGCCTATTTGCCAACCCTGTTTGATTTAGACAGGAATTGGAGTAAGATTTCAATTATTCCTATTTGGTTCAGTTGGAGTTGGAATTAGAATCAATAAAAAATATTAATTTTGTATTAGTTCATTAATATTTTATTATTACTTTAATAATATTTTACTATTTTACTATATTTATTAATATTAGGATTTGGCAGGTGTTCTTTACTTTTTGATAGACTCCTAAAATGGGAATCCTATTTCTAAAGGGGAACCTGCAATGGCCATTCTGGCATTCTCCTGTATGGGGGAATCCCACTCCCCCAAAAATGGGATTTAGAATCTTATTCCAATAAAACAAACGGTTGGAATTGGAATGACCCATTTTGGTTCTAAATCTGGGCACCTATTCCAGGGAACCAAACAGACCCTAAGAATGTATATCAACAAATAGACCACTATGAGTGACGTTAGGGCTGTCAATGGGTCTGGTCTGGGTCGGGACAAGGTGGTCCCAATCCCAAACCAATTATTCATTGGGACAAAATCACAGACCCAGAACCATCCTGAATCTCTGATTAATAATTGGGGTAATTGGGTCTCACCCAATAGACCTGGTTATATTAAAACTATATTTATTTATTTAAGTAATAACTTAAAACTTAAATTTTGATAACATAACTTTGACAAAAACTACATTAGAATGTTAAATTATTTATATGTTAATAAATAAAACGTTTTTAACTAATATTATCTTATATGATCTGTCAAATTAACATTGCAAACATAAAACACAATAAAAATTATAAGAAAAATAGGAAAAAATTAAATATATTTAATAAAACAATCGGTTCAGGTTTGAATATATCAGTTCTGGACAAGAAACAACCAGAATCGGCCCAATTATTAATTAGGACAAAATCATGAAACTAGAACCAACAAAATCAGTTCAGTTCAATTAGAGCAGTCAAGCAAAACTGACCCATTGACAGCCCCAAGTGAAGTAATTCCCAACAAAATTCTAAAACTAATACTTATTGTGACATTGTGAAAGAAAATACGTCTAAGACAAGCAAAGTAAGGAAGTTGCTTGGAGAAGCTTAAACTCAGAAAAGAGAAGCTGAATAAGCAGCGAAAGATGCATGGAAGCAAGCTGAAAAAGTGAATTTGGATGAAGAACACAATGAATGGGAAATGGTGCATACATGCAAAGGTGTTGGGGGAAAACAAATCGAAGCGGTCAATGCTAAAGTTTCTATGATATTAGAAGATATCAGCGCCTCACATGCATATCTCAGTGTGCATTGAGAACGTTTTCAATACTAGTCATCGGAAGATGTTTCTAATACACGGTTGGAATGTACTGTGGGGCGCTCATGTGAAATCCAATTTGTCAATGGTTGATACCTTATTCTCATGAAATGGAGAGCTGGCATTAACCCTCTTCCTCATCTTAACGAAGAATTCAATATTGGGTTAGGCTACCAGGTCTACTCCTCGTGTTGAGAAAGTAAATGGCCAAACAAGTATTCTGTAGGTCACTTCGGCAGAGCAATCATGCAAAGCTAATCCCAATGCCAATAAAAATGATCTTGGGAATAAAACTTTTTTCTACCTCTTCAAACTGCAAAAGAGATGTTAATTAAACTTTTACATGCTCCCGTCTTATGCATCGAAGGCCTTTTTGCTACAATTGTAGGAGTAGGACAAATAGAATCGTTCCTTGATTCCTTCCATCTTTGAAAGTGGGGAAAGATTAGAGTCTCTCGTCATTGCCTTCATGGAGGATACAACTCAAGATTGGTTTTATCATTCCATCTCGTACTCAAAGTTCACACGACAGAGACCAAGGGAACAAGATGCTTTTGCTAGTGGTGACTTAGCACTCTCTATCAAGGTTCAAAGTATCGATATACATGATATGCCGGTAGGGTGTATTGGCCTATATTAGTATTTCTTTATGTTTTATTTATTTTTTTAAAACCAGTTCAGAGAGATTTGTTTAAATCCTGACTACCCTCTTAACCATGATCTGGCTTGATATAACCCCTGTAGGGACATATCAAGAAGCCATCGACACAATATGTATCGACTGATACATATCGATACTTTTAACCTTGCTCTCTATCTCTACTTCTAGATCATTCACTAGCAACAAAACTCTTCCGGGGGTGAGATAGGCCATTACACCAAATGAAGTCCCAACTATCCAGGATTTTGAGAGTTGGGAATAATAATCTCATGGTTTGTTAACTTCTGGTCTCCTATATCATATTAATAAGTTAATAACATAGTTAGGATTTTAATGTGATATTAATTAGATCCATACACGATGATAGCAGTTGTTTTTGTGTTGTAAGAGATTTGGGATCCTTCATCCTTGCCAAGGTTTTAAATATCAACTCTAACCCTTAATTAGTGCTAATTCAAATTCATAATTGCTACTAAGGCTCAGTTTGGAAAGAGTACAAATACAAATATGTACAGTACAAATACATACAAAATAATATAAAATGTAAAACTGATTATTTTGTATGTATTTGTACTATACATTCCAAACTGAGCCTAAAAAGCAAATTGCGGAGAGTAAAAATCACACAGATTTTAACTTTAATTTAACCTTAATCCATGGTTCACAACTTTACATTTTTTAATATGCATATGAAAGTTTTGTGTTGAGCAAAAACTTTCTTTCGGAACCATTCTTTAATTCAATTGTATGAATTTTAAATTTAATATTTTAAGAATAAAACTTTTTTGATAGTTATTAGTAAAATTTATATTCATCTATCTTAAATAGTTGTTTCTTCTTCCTGTGTATCCATGCATATTCAAATCTTTTCATCGTATCCAAAATGTATCCAGATGCATATCCTGAAATTACCTTGTCTATATGCTTTGCAATACCGATATTTTGAACCTCAGCCATTGCTAATATTTATCTTACAGCATAATAGAGAGATCTACCATTGATATTAAAAATAATGGTTCACCTATTAAATGCTACCAGTATAACTAAAAGATCCTTCTTAACAGGAAAAATATACAGAGATGGCCAAAACATCATGTGCAGATCTCTGCTGGGGATCAATGAAGTGACCGATAAGACCTCATTTTTTAAGATGAAAATGCAACTTAGACCATTTTTGATGCAGGTTAGGCTTTATCAGATCACCTTAAACTGTACATGTAAGCAGATGAAAACCTTCTAAAGGAACAGAGTTTAACATCAATAACTTCATTCTTTGTCAGGACTACCATCTTCATCTTCATTGTCTTCTTCTTTGCCATTTTCCTTGCATTCTTCATTTCCATTTTGAGCCGCTGCTGCTTCTTCCATTTTCCTTTTCTTATTGGCTTCCTTTGCTTTTGCCGTTACAGCCTTCTTTCCAGCATTTTTTCGTCTAAAAACTGGAAAGAAATCAAGAATAATACCCAGATTAATCAAATTTTTCTCCAAAATGTAATCTTGGTATAACAAGTAGCATAAGAAAAAGGAGTAATACCAGCTAGAGTGAGAGAGAGAGAGAGAGCATTGACAGACAGCATGTTTTCATGTCTCAAAAGTCTGTTTATTGTTCTGAAGACACCCACTATGACAAAACAAGTATATACTGATATATACACATACATATGTAATCCAAGAAGAAAGAAGAAAAAAGGAGAAAAGAGAAGGAAGAAGAAGAGAATTGAAAAGGCCAAAAAATCAAGCTAGCAACGCCTCTATTTATACCTAGGGTGGCAGCTTTACAATAAAATAAAGATAAGAAAAGATAAAAAGCCTTTACAAGCTACGTACTAACAAAACTACAACATATATATGGGGAATATTAAGTTAATGTCCACCTGCAAGTAAACTATATTTTGTTTTACTAGAAGGAACACATTATTTTTTTCTGCTAACACCTGGTAAAATATGATTACTTGCAGCCTTGGAGGTGACAAAGTTATCATTAATAACAAGGTTCAAAACTTCGATACAGTACGCCCTGTATCAGGCATATTGTATCGTATCTCTTGAAGGCCAATGCGTCTGTTTTAAGGGGTTTAAGAAAACCTTTTATTTTATAATAAAATAACATATAAATGAGGCTCTTTCTCTGAAATTTTGAAAAATAAAAACTAAAACAAAATAAAAAGCACATCACATAGTCCAAAGTATCAATACACCCCTTCTGACATATCAGGGTGTATCGATATTCTGAACCTTGATTAATAAGAGCAAATGAAGGCCAACCACAATTGGGTAGCTTGAGTGGCAAACAAGGTTTGTGTTTCTTGTCTCTCTATAAATAGTTATGTTCTCTTTCCTTTTGAAGTTAATGAAGCTGGGTCTGTTTACAATTGTAAAGAGACTGGGCCGAATGGGCCCTAACAGCCTCTTGTGTGATATCCTTTTTTATCTTTTATTTTATGTTGATGGGCCTCACTTAATGGGCCTGTTATTTATTCTTGTTTTATTTTCTTTATGTAATTGCCAAGCTGGCCGCCCACTTAAGGGYATACTTGTCATCATTAATTTTTGGAGATTAATAAATAGGGTTAGGGTAGAAGGGTGGATTATTCGATTCCTTCTTCTCTTACCTCTTCTCTTCGACATACACAGCTCTTGCACTATTATTCAGCTCTGATTTGTTCTATTAATCAATGTTTTTAAATCTGATATTAGAGGACTGATTTACATCTTGGTATCAGAGCGGGTTCAATTCCTCTTTCTTCTTTTTCTTTGTTCCTATACACTCTAAAATCAAGAGAGTGTATGGAGAGATAGGTTCTCTATAGTATAGAGAATCACTTGCCTAATTGGTAGAAGGGTTTGGAGAATTTAGTTCTGGCCAGATTTTGCCAAGAAGTGATGTTGTTTTGCTGATGCCCAAAACCCTAGCCGACTAGAGATTTTCGAGTTACCAAGAAAGGTGAAGCTTGGGTGTGGCGCTTTGTGCTTAGAAGGTGTCTTGTGACTGCTAAATGAGGGTGGTTTAGGTTTGGAAGAGTTTGGGTTACTCTGGTAGGTGCGGCAGTGTCTTCTCTCTCCCGCCCATCTAYTGGATGGAACAAAACCCTAGTTTTTCAAGCACCCAAGTTATGGTTTGACTTCAAGTAAGTTTACATAGTCAAAATTTTCTGTTCTTTGATTTTCGTTTGAGTAATAGAGACATACAGAAGTGAGTTCAAGCAGGTGCCAACTTCTGGACCTGCCCCAGTAGATTCTGTTTTGACGGGTGTTACCACAATTAAGCTAGATGGGACGAACTATCTTGCCTGGGCACAGTCTATAAAAATTTATGTTTGTAGTAGAGGAAAACTCGGGTATCTTACAGGCAGTAAGGTGAAACCCGAAGAAACAGATCCTGAATTTGAGAGATGGATGCAAGAGAACTATACCGTTATAGGATGATTAGTTAACTCTATGCAACCTCATATAAGCCAACACTATCTCTGGATGTCTATTGCTAAGGAGATATGGGACAGTGTAACTGAGACTTATTCACAGAAACAGAATGTAGCCCGAGCATATAAATTGAAAAGTGATGTGAAGAACCTGAGACAGGGGGAGAAGAGTGTAGCAATCTACTACTCTATGCTAAAATCCCTATGGCAGGAAATTGATGTTATSGAAACTGTGGTATGGGAGAGTAAAAAGGATGCTGAAATGTACAGAAAACTGGTAAAGAGAAATAGGGTGTTCGAGTTTCTCACTGGACTCAACCCTGAATTTGATATTATCAGACATAATATTTTGGCCAGAGATGAGGTTACTCTATCACAAGCATATGCCATGATAAGTAGTGAGGATAGTAGACGACAGGTTAAGTTGCAGAGTCCACCTACAGAACACCTTGCACATGCGGGAATGAAATCTAAGGGGCCTACTGAAAAAAGGGAGCAGGTGTGTGAATAATGCAAGAAACTACGACATACCAAGGATACCTGCTGGAAACTTCATCCTGTACTACTCCCTGAGAGGTTTAAGAACAACCCTAAGAATGGCAGTCAAGTGGGAAAACCCAAGACTGCTAATGCTGCTACAGTACCTGAAGGGGGAAGGAGAGTGAGGAAAAATCAACCATTGAGCAGTTGGCCACAATGAAATTAGACTTTGAGAAGTATCGGAGGCTCCTAAATCACTTGGAAGCTACAGTTTCTTCAGCCCACCCTTCCAACAGTGCATCCTCTTCATCGGCTTTTGCTCACTCAGGTACATATGCCTCAGCAAATCATGCTTCAGTCTCAGGTAATCATAAAATCCCTTGGATTATAGATTCCGGTGCATCAGACCATATGACCAGCCTATCTAACCTTTTTTGTTCATATCATCTCCTCTCTGGGAAAGAGAAAATATCCCTTGCCAATGGGTCACTTGCTCCTATCTCTGGTAAAGGAGATATAAAGACCTCTGACACCCTGTTCTTATCTTCTGTTCTCCATGTTCCTAAGCTTAACACAAACCTTTTATCTGTTAGTAGCTTAACAAAGTCCATGAACTGCAACATAACCTTCTTTCCCATTCATTGTGTTTTCCAGGACCTGTAGTCTCAAAGGACGATTGGGAGTGGCCATGAGGCGAACGGGATATACCTGCTGGACACACCAGATCAAGCCTTTGGTCCACCTCATGGAGTTGCTTTCGAGTCAGTTGTGTCAGAGTCTATTAACAAAATTTTGTTATGTCATTTTCGGTTCGGTCATTTGTCTTTTTCTGCTTTAAGTCATCTGTTCCCAGATATGTTTAAAGGAGTGTCCTTATCTAGTCTTCATTGTGAGTCATGTGAGCTAGCAAAGCATTATAGACATTCCTATTCAATTAGTAATAAAAGATCCCTTTCTCCTTTCCATATTGTTCACTCTGATGTGTGGGGGCCATATCACATGCCAACCATGGGGGGCTATAGGTATTTTATCCTTTTTATTGATGATTATTCTCGTTACACTTGAATTTATCTCATGAAATCCCGGGATGAAGTACCCACTATTGTGAAAAATTTTCATGAACTCATCCTCACCCAGTTTAATACTCGTATCAAAATATTCCGTTCTGACAATGCTAAGGAGTATTTTGAGAGAACCCTCTCCACCTACCTTGAAACCTTTGGGGTTATTCATCAAAGTTTTTGCTCCTACACCCCACAACAAAACGGGGTAGCGGAAAGAAAGAACAAACATGTGATACCCATGTCTGTACCGGAAGCATTATCTCAACCTGAATGGAGGGATGTTGTGATGACTGAACTTGAAGCATTACATAAGAACCATACCTGAGATATTGTGGACTTGCCAAAAGGGAAGGAACCAGTGGGGTGTAAATGGGTGTTTACCATTAAATATCACTCCGATGGCTCGGTTGAAAGGTATAAGGCTAGGTTGGTTGCCAAGGGTTACACCCAAATGTATGGCATTGACTATCTTGAGACATTTGCTCATGTGGCTAAGATGACTTCAATTAGGGTTTTACTTTCTCTAGCAGCTACTTTTGACTGGCCCCTACACCAGTTTGACGTTAGAAATGCCTTATTGAATGGAGACCTGCATGAAGAGGTATATATGTCTCTACCTCTGAGAGTGTATGGGAAAGAAATGAAAGGCAAGGTGTGTACACAAATCTATTTATGGTCTCAAACAATCTCCTCGGGCTTGGTTTGAGAGATTTTGGGCTGCTCTTGTCTCCTTTGRCTACATTCAAACACAATCTGATCATACACTGTTCTTGAAGAGAAATGACTCTCTGGTGACCTTCTTGATTGTTTATGTTGATGACATTGTGGTCACGGGTAATGACATTGAAGAGGCCAATAAACTAAAAGGATTTCTCAACTCTGAATTTGAAATCAAAGATTTGGGAGATCTTCGATATTTCTTGGGCATTGAAGTTGCTCGGTCTAAGGATGGTATCTTTATATCTCAGCGCAAATATGTCCTTCATCTTCTTGCTGAAACTGGTAAACTTGGAGTTAAATCTATCTCCACTCCCATTGATCCTAATCATAAGCTTTCTGCCACAGATGGTGAACCTTGTCTGATAAGGGAGTGTTTCAGAGACTGCTTGGGAAGTTGTATCTTTGCATGACTCGGCTAGATATTTCCTATGCAGTAAGTGTTATTAGTCAGTTCATGCATTCGCCTAGAGATACTCATCTTGTTGCTGCAGAAAGGGTCCTGTGCTACTTGAAAGGTACTCCAAGGAAAGGTATTCTATTTGCTAAGCATGGTCACATGAAGCTGGAGGCCTTTACTGATGCAGATTGGGCAGGATGTGTGGATGACAGGAGGTCCACCTCTGGTTATTGTGCTCTGGTGGCTGGAAATATTGTGTTTTGGAGAAGTAAGAAACAATCAGTGGTTGCTAGATCCTCAGCTGAAGCAGAATACAGGGCTATAGCTCATGATGTATCAGAACTACTATGGCTACGATCTCTTCTAGAGGAATTGGGGGTGGACTACGAGAAACCAATGATGCTCTATTGTGACAATCAAGCTGCTATCAACATTGCACATAATCCTGTTCAACATGACAGAACTAAGCACATTGAGGTTGATAGGCATTTCATAAGGGAAAGAGTCTCTTCAGGGGAAGTTTGTTTGCCATTTATCACATCAGAAGAGCAACTGGCAGATATCTTGACCAAGGGAGTTTCAAAAGGGAAACTGACACACTATATAAGCAAGCTGGGCATGATTGACATCTATGCTCAGCTTGAGGGCCCTAATGAGAAGATTCATTTGGCAGCTTGGAACTCTATTTGTGGTTTCTAAGGACTGTGGTGGAGTTGGTGCTAGGAGTCTAAGGGGGGTGAATGATGCTTTGCCCTGTCAGTGGCTATGGAGGTTTGGTGAGTAGGACAAGCACTTGTGGTGACAAGTCATTGAGTGCAAGTATGGGAGCTCTCCATTGGGTTGGGTCACCCTTCCATCTCATCAATCCTGTGGTACTAGTGTGTGGAAAAGTACATTTGCTCGCCTTCCTCATTTTTAAAGGCATATTAAATTCGAAGTAGGGGGAGGGAAGTACGATCTTATTTGCCAAGGCCTTGCTGACATTGTTCTCTATTGCCTCTAATAGAGATGGTGTTGTGAGAGAGTTCATGAGGTTGTGAATGGTCAACTAATATGGGTGCCCAGATCCTAGAGGAATTTAAACAACTGGAAGATGGATGTACTTCAAAATCTGTTGGGTAAACTGCAGGAGGCACAAATTAATCCTAGTTCTAGGTTAGAATGTTAACATGTGAAAAAATGGAAAATTCACCACCAAGTCTTGCTATGCAGCATTGACTGGGCAAGAGTTTAAGTGGATTCGTCTTGGATTTGGAAGGCTCAAGTTCCTTCAAAAATCATATTTTTCTTATGGCTAGCAACAAAAGGAAAAGTTCAAATTGTGGATGTTTTGCTGCAACAAGGTTTGAGCTTTGATGACATTTGCAGCCTGTGTGGTTCAGCACCTGAACCACTATCCGTTGGTTCAGCACCTGTGTGGTTCAGCACCTGTGTGGTTCAGCCTGTGGTTCAAAAATCATCTGTTAATACACTATCCGTTCACCTATCAGATGGTGTCATTTCTTTAGGCTGTTTCACATCCAGTGGGTCTTACCCTTATTAGTAGCTGACCTGTTATCTTCTTGAAAGAATGGCTCCTTCTCAGCTAAAGGATGATTCCTTTGGAGCTGTCTGTCCTTAGCAATATGTTCGGCAATATGGAAAGAATGGAACCATAGAATCTTTGAATCTTTTTTTGTGGAGAGGACTATTCAGAGCTGGGTTGGTTGCTTGAATCTTTTTGTGGGAGGTACCAGCTAGTTCATTCTCTGATAATTGGATATCTATTATTTTTTGAACATTTTATACAGTTCTACAACTCATAATATTGCTTCCTCCCCCATAAGGATGAGGCGGCTTCATCCTCCTAAACAACTGAAGATCTAGCAGCCACAAGTTCCAGAGGTAAAACAAAGACAAAGAAATTGGTGCTGCCTTGGTAGTATGACAAGTAGAAGATCACGAAAGTTAGGAAGAAGATGAGGGCTCCCCGCTGGAGGTACAAATATACTTGCTGATTTCCAGATATTGTAAGTGTTGCTTATTGAGGTCAGATGATGCGGAATGTACATCATACCTTTGATTTGGTGCCAGGAGTGGCATTGCCAAATTACCTGCTTTTGTCCCTTTTTGATCTCTTTCTGAAACTTTTAGGAACTGTCCTTTACAATGCTTATCATTGTTGTCATTCACTGCAGTATGTTATTCACCCAATGTCATCCTACAATTTTGTCACCTTATAACAGAACTTGCATATGACAGCATTGTGACCTTAAATTGCAGTATTTAAAACTGGATCTCTTGGTCTGTTCTTGAGAAAGCTATTTCCCCTCAAGGAATTCCAAGTCTTGTTATGTTGCTTGCAATGAAGTTAAAGGAACAAGTGATATACTAAAAGGATATGCCCCTAGGAGACAATCCGAGGGAAAGCAGGTTTTGGAATCCAATAGTAGAGAACTGTTCTAAGAGATTGGGAGCATGGAAGAGGAATTATATTTATTTTGGGGGTAGAATTACCTTAATAAAATCCACCTTAGCAAACTTGCCAATTTATTACTTGTCAATCTTTAAAATGCTGTAGAGGGATGTCCAAAAATTAGAAAAACTAATGAGATACTTCTTGTCGGAGCCTGGTGAATGAAGGATCACTTGATTAAATGGGAGTTAGTGTGCAAAAGCAAAGAGCAGGGGGGGCTTAGGGATTGGTAATTTAGGGAAGAAGAATTTATCCCTACTAGGTAAATGGCTCTAGAGATAGCCTTTGGAAAGGGGGAGACTTTGGCAAGAAGTTATTGGTAGTATTCATGGAAGTGCAAGCAGTGGCTAGGACATTGGGATCTCTTCGAGGCTACTTTGGCTTCTACATGGAAGTCAATTTGTGGAGTGCTTCCTTAGTTTCTAAGCCTTATTAGGTATAATGTCTACTCTAGAGACAAAGTTCTCTGTTGGGAGGGAGGGCCTTTGGATAGGCAACTCAACCCTTAAAGATCTCTTTGTTCAAAAAGAACTTGTCCACCGGTTTGTGTCCTCGTCGTCATTGATTGGAGTCAGTTGGAACTTGGGTTTAAGGAGAGATTTGAGAGACCATGAGCTTGGTAGTGCAATTCGCTCCTACAACTCCTTAATTTTGTCTTTCTGGACTTTTCTAAACTAGATAGCTGGGTTTAGATTCCACACCCTAAGGAAGTTTTTCTTTACTTGTGCCTCTTTTTTCTTCTCCATGTGCTCTTCCCCTACCTCTCGGCCCTATCCTGTGAAGGAAATTTGGCCCAAATCCATTCCTCCCACGAWAGGGGCTTTGTGCTAAGAAGTCTTTCATGGAAAAATAAACAATTTGGATGTCCTATAGTAAAAAAGGCCTAACTTGTGTATTTCTCCACATTGATGTATCCTTTGCAAAGCAAATGGAGAATGCTGTTAGATATTCTAATCCCATGCCCCTTTGTTGTAGGTATATGGGAAAAGATTTTTGGTCTTTTTGGTATTAGGTGGAGTGTGCCCCTTCAGGTGGATAATCATTTTGACCCTATGACCTTCAGTTGGCCAAAGAAAAGAGGTAGATTTATGTAGAATGTGCTTGGGCTGCATTGATTTGGACAGCTTGGGAGGAAAGGAACAACAGAATTTTCAATGGTATAGAAAGAAATGAGGTGGCTGTGTGGGAATGTGTTTTAAGTAGAGCCATTCATTGGAATAAATCATTAGACCTTTTCTCAGACTTCTCCTTTGATGATATTTGGCAAAATTAGGAAGCAATAGCAAGAAGTTCTGTTAGGAAGGATAAACTGGTTGTAGCCTAGACTCCTTTGGGAGAAGGTTTTGTTAAACTAAGTTTTGATGGCAGCTGTCTTGGAAATGCAGGGCTGGCTGACATTGGAGGAGTATTTAGAAATTCTGATGGACACATTTTTGCTGTACTTTAAGGCCCTGTTTGAGGGGGTTCGGTTTATGTTGAATTCAAAGCAGTATTGCAAGGACTACAAATTGCCAAAGACTTCAACTATGATAGATTGGTAATTGAAGGTTACTTCAAATTGGTACTAGGGTGGCTGCGGGAACCAGAAAAAGTGGTTTGGAGATACGGGGGTTTTATGAAAAGACTTAAATGGCTAATTAGAGATATGGTAACCATTATTCAATGGGAAAGGTGATCAGCAAATGGATTAGCTGTGCTTTTTTTTTTTTTTTTTGCAGAACAGGGGGTGCATAAGTTAGTGGCTCAATTTTAATTCAGTTCATGTAAAGGGGGCTGCATCTCATGCCTCTGTTTAAATGCTGTCATTGTAACACCTTTCAAAATGCTACATAACTAATTTGCATGTTGTGCCACTTCTAAGTTTTTTAAACAAAGTAGTTAGTAAGTTTGCTTAAACATGGTTCTAGAATGCTACATTTGAAAGTGATAACAAAGGAATTTATTTGTTCAGAAAATACAAGTAATATAGTATACAGCTTAAATATGATAAAAATCAGAAAGGAATAATGGCATGAACCAAAAGGATGGTCAGGATAAAGAAATTTACAAACCATCCAAAGAGGCTTGCAGTGGTCCAATGAACTCAGGAAATTCAATTTCTTCAAGGGCTTTGAAAACATCATCAGCATTGATTGTTTGTCTCTTTGATTCTCTACATATGTCATTTGCACTGCAAGGGAACATTATTCAATGGAAGTTAGCATTATTGCAAACTAAAGAGAGGAAATCAGTTAAATATTAAGAACTAACTAATTTAACAATAAGAGAAGTTGCAAAAGAAAAAAAAAATAAATGAAAGGAAATAGTATAAGAAGAAAGAATGGCTTCAAGTCTCCACATTTTCATATGCAAATGGCATTGCCAAACATATTATGGATATGCCCAGAAACATTTATGGGTCACACATATAAGATTTTCAAGTTTCAAAATCAACCCACTAGATGGACATAGCCACCATCCTTCTCCAAGGGAATTGCCCAAAACCTTTTTCCCTAATATCCTTTTCTTCTTAATATTGTATGAAATAATGTAATAGGTTAGTTGTAAGCTTCATCCAATGGGTTTTCTTTTAAGCTAGGACTGACAAATGCACAAAAGAGACACACTGCTATTTTTTATCTTTTTTCTATTATTAACAATGAAAATAGAAAATTTATTAACAATGAAGAAGAAACTCCTCCATTCAGGAAAGGTTCAAATACAGGGAACCATATACAGCATATAACCAATGCAAACTAAGTTCAAGTCACAAGTAAAACAGGAGTGTGTGTGTGTGTGTGTGTGTGAGAGAGAGAGAGAGAGAGAGATTAGCCCCTTTTTGCATCCCTGGACCTAGAGCCCCCGCCAGTAATTCCACCCTCCCAATTGCTTCTCTTGCAAACAAATTAATACTCTTATCCTATCCAGGTATCCACCTGATTGAGTTGTTCAAACTAGATGCATACTTTCGCCTCTCTATTTTTTTTTTTATGATCAGTAAAAACTTTCGCCTCATTAAATAGGAACATGAGAGTGAAAGACCCAATGGACAGACCAGCTGTTGACCATGTAAAAGCACAAGAAGCCCCAGCCCTACGTGATTTGTCCTCCCCAACTGGAGTTGAGATTCTCAAGATGACACTTTTGATACCATCTTTGAATAGACTGATGGATTTCATCTAAGTTAACCCACACTTAACTAGAGGCCTATGGCTTTTAAAGATTCTAATCATACTATAACAGACCATAAATTATCCTTCTTATACAGTTATATACAGAATTTACAAGCAAACGTATTAAAATTTCGTAGTCCACTACACAAACGGAAAAGGGGAAATTAGCTATAGGATGGGTGGAGTACCATGTTTGATAAAATTCTCAAATAAAAACCAAGAAAAGAATTCAACCACCAATTACAAAGTCTTCCTTAGCATTCAAATATTGAAACATTACAACAAGACAGGTACCTTTCATATAAGTTCAGTCGGAAGGATAAACCAGAAATAATAATACCATAAAAATAAATACTTCACATCTTTAAATCGAACCCATTAGGAATCAGCCCAAACAAAAAACAAAAAGCATGACATATGCTAACGATTTCCCAAATAACAGTCACAAATCCATCCCCAATAACGAAAACTGCTCCTAATAATCTGAAATAAAGATACAATTGAAAATTGACACAAATGAAATGCCGCCCGAAATAAACGCTAATTCAGGAAACCCTAAAAAATTCAGGAAAAGACAATTTCCCCGACATATATATATATTTTCACGAGCGTTGATGTTAACTGGAACCCCAGCTCAGAAGTAATCGCAGTGAAAGAGTGAGAGGGGGAAAAGATTTGAAATAAAATATTACGTAGCAGAGAGGTAGTGAATGAAGATCCTGGCGCTCTCGGAGAAAGCGAGGAGAGCATCCTTGTGGACATTGATTTCGTCTTGATCGGAAGAACGAGAGAGTTTATCCTTCACAACTCTGCGCACGATAGCCTTCGGCAGCTCTTCGACCTCTGATGCAGCTTTCGCCATCTTTTGCTCTCTGCTCCAATAAACACCAAAATCAAATGCTCTTTCCTTCCTTCAAGAATCAAGACCTAAACTAAACTGCTGCCTAGCGCCAGTGCTGTGCCTGCTGGATGGAGTGTTTTCCCGCTCAATTTTGGGCTTTCCCTGAGTTCACTTTTGTTGTTTCAGGCTTTCAGCGCAGCGCTACATTTCTGCCCTGCCCGGAAATTTCGGGCATGGGCCTAGGTGGGCTAGTAATCCAAAAACATCTTCATGTCGTTTTCCACGTGGCAATTTTGCAATTGATAAACTCATGCCACCACCTGGCATATAGAGAAAGTAAATGGTTAGAGCTACAATACACTTCTAGTTTTTGTTTTAGGAAATTAGAGTTCTCAACTTCTCAATGCTAAGATGTTCTTTTAGTTAATTAATTAATAATTAGTGTCTGCAGTCTGCAGTAAGTTWTGTAATAAACATTCTACTGAGTAACCATTCTGCCAAACATAGTCATCTTTTTGATGGTTAAGATTGCAAATTCCTTCTATTGTTTTTCATTCTTTTCATGAAGTAAGTAGTTTCAAGGGTTGAGGCGGAGTGCACATGAGGCCCATTGTACATACAAAAATACTTATATACGTAAATGCAAGATTATATGATATTTATACATATAAAATRTTAAGTTGGATTCAGATTGACAAGGCCTCAATCTCAACCGAACCTGACTTTTCAAGCAGGGTTGAAGTTGGGTTTAGGGTAACCCGGCCCAAGTTGTAGCCCTAGGCCCTAGCTTCCACATTGAGAAATGATACACGTTGAGAAATGCACACTAAAAGATTCAGTAAATAGGGTTGTTGAGTGTTCCAGGGCTAGAGAACTACAAGATATGTGGTCATAAAACCAAAACCGTGCCTCGTAATATCAATAACACCACAAAAAATTGAAAACCGACCCCCATCCAAAAACCTCCTTTGAGCAGCTATCAAGCGCCATCTTAACAAAATTCAAAAACATTTGAGCCACAATATCACTTTTCCGTTACTGAAGATGGAAAGAAGCATATCTCTTTGGAATACGTGGATTGTGGCTTGTGGGCTGAAATTGATTTTACTTTCAACTTAAGCCACTAAAACCATTTCTGATCGAAACACGGCCTAACAATTTCAAACTCTTTACCTTTAAAATGCCTCAAAAATTTCTCCTCCAATCATTCAATAAATTAATTCTAAAACAAAGAACAATATAACATCATAAGGTATATAATCCTGTAAAACCCATTCACTTCGTCCCTTCAATAGAAACCCTGAGCTCCTGCCACCATTAAGATCTTTTATAATATCTACTTTGTTTTTTGTGATCTCATGTTTCTCATCTTTTACCCACCTACATTAAATGAGCCTTTTGCCCTAAAGATTATGCTGCATTTGGCATTCTTATTTTAACAGTAAAAAGGAGGTAAGTCCTTAAAATAAGGAATGCCAAATGCAGCATTAGTCATGGGGACATACATAACTCACTTGGTGGGTATTTTTCTTTTTATTTTTTAATCCAAAATTACATGAAAGCAGCTATACCTGAAAATGTAGAGTTTTTCAGTTTCGCAACCTTAAGTAAGAAAGTGTTACACCACCAAAAAAAAAATATGTTCTGCTCATGCAAGAAATTAAAAAAAAAAACAGAAAGCCAAGTTAATTTTTTGCATCCTCTTCCTTCATCTTCTTTTCCCACCTGCGCTTCTTGTAATCCAATAACATTTCTGGCATTTTCTTCATCAACTCAGCTGTATTTGCTCTCTTTTCTGCAGATACTCTGTCACACTTATGCCCTTTCCTCTTGTTCCTCATCTCTTTCCTCTCTGGGTCATATGGCCAATCCTCTCCGGCTAGGAGGACTTCTTTGCGGAGACGTGCCCTACGGCGAGCACTAATACCAAGCGGCTTCCATGCCCCCAACTCCCAGTAACCCCAAACACCCTTAGAGAGTTCATCTTTGTATTTTGCCAACTTTTCTCGCCATGGGTATTGATACTCACTTACCATCTTCACCACAGATTTTGCTGATTTGCCTGCCATCACCTTACCCGTAAACCTGAAGATTCTACATCGGTCCATAAATGAGAGAGAGAGAGTAAATAACCTTTATTGTCAAAGGATAAATCAAAACTATAATAGCCGAGAACATAGAAAATAATGAATTCAATTCACCAAAGGTTAAACTATAAGAAATAATCACAAGGGTAGATGAGAAGAATTGACATCAGAAAACTAGGCATTTCATATTATTATGATCAGATCAGAAGAAGCAAGTTAAATAAATTATAATAATGTAACTCGACACTCATTTAAATCATCAATCCCAACTCATATTTGTTTCATGCGTCTTTGGGGCTCCTCAGAGGTTTGGTCCATTTTCTAAAGAGCTCTGGATGGATTCAGTGGGATATACACTTTCATCAGAGTCAGATGATAAAAGGAAGTTGCTTGATCAAGTAAACAAAAGAAATTTCTTGAACCAAGGAGCAGCAAAGCTTTCAAGGTTTTTTTTTGTTATTTTGTTTTTTTTTTTTTTTTTTTGAGAAAGAAGAACAAAACCACAAAAGTTAAGTCTGCATAACCAGGAGTTGTACAGTACCCAAGTCAATCTGTACATCTTCTATTCTGTCTATTCTGTGTGAAGAGGCAGAGTCAAAAAAAAAAAAAAAAGAAAACAGCTAAATGGCCTGCTCCTGAAAAGTTTGTATTCCTACCCAAGAATACAACCTACCCCAAAAACCTTCTGGCAAGATTTCTTCAGTATTAAATTATTTTCAAACAATCTCTTTTTCTTTCCACCCAAAGTGTCCAAACTACTAAGGCTGGTCCTACCCCTCAAACAAACCTTGCCTTCTTTTGATAGACTATTCAGCTACCAACCCCATAACAATGCCATCAAACTTTCTGGACTAGGCCAAGTTTGGGTGAGGAAACAAATCTATTAAAAGAATGGGGTCAAGTAAAAAATGTTGATAAAATCTATTAATGCATATCTGACTGATCTTTTACTGTACTGTATTTACTTAACTAATATTTTTCTTGCCTGGTTCTTTGTTTTTTGTTCCAACTTCCAACTTGTATATATGTTAGTTGTAAACAGATTTACTAACTATGGTTAGGTTTGGATTACAATGTGTTGCACTTTACCTACAGTATTCACATCCTCAGCTACCACTCTACTGTAACTGTTCTTATCTGCTACATGAAAATGAAAGAACTATAGTGACTTTATTGTAACATGCGCGTATAGGTAGTAATAATAACCTTAGTATTGATCTGGGATGATACCCATCCCGTTTCTCTCCTTAAGAGGTCCATATGGCTCTGTTTATTCTCCTCAAAGTCAGTGGTGAAGCTAGCTTATGCTCAGTAAACTAGCAGGTTTTTTTGTCTTTCATTATGAGTACTAGAATGGGAATGGCTATGGCCATGGCTGTGGATATTGCAAATCAATGTTCATAGCATCAATGGCACCAATGCATGGCCTTGTTTATAGAATATCATGATATATAATCTTTTTTTATAATAAGCAACGGAACTTTATTCAATCAAGGCAACAAAACCATCTCACAAAACACAAAAACAACCCATTTTCAAACCACAACAACCATAAGATAGATGTTTTGCGGAAACACTTAAAGACTTTCCTCCTGCCGTTTTAGGCTTGCTTTCTATAGATCCTACAGATCGTGGAACTGCAGCTTCTGCTCTCAAGAGTGAGGTATGAGGTTCTTCAGAATGTGGGCCTACAAAGTAGAAGTCAATCTATGCTTTTACCAAGGTTCTAAATATCGACACGAGCCAATACGCCGGTAGGGCTTATTGGCCTGTGTCTTTTTTTTTTTTTTTGGATCAATTGCTTATTGGCCCGTGTCAGTGCTTTTTTTTATGTTTCACTTATTTTTTATTTTTTTTTTCGAAATTGGTTCAGAGGGGCCGGTTTAAGGCCCGGCTACCCTCTGAACCAGTGGCTGACCCAATACAACCCCTGTAGGGGCGTATCGGGAAGCCACTGGCATGATACGTATCGGCCGATACGGGCTGATATGTGTCGATACTTTGAACCTTGGCTTTTACCCGCATCATGTTTTTCAGTTTTTTTCATTTGGTTTATTCTTTTAATTGTTGAGGTTTATTGATCTTCACCTATTAAGATAAGATAGGAAAGAATCATAACAGATAAGTTCATGCCAAAATAATAAAGCAATAGGCAGGTAATGCATTTCTCCTGAGCAGCAGGGGTGTTATTTTTGGACTGTAGGTAACCACAACTTGTTATTAGACTAACAAATACAGTTCAAGCAAGAGGACAGGCAACAGTTTTTAAGTTAAAAGGATTGAATCCCATTCTATTACCAGAACAGAACATTGCAGTTCACATCCTGAATCAAATCCCTCCTCAACTTATTTAGTGTAGGATAACATTTGACAAAAGCAAAGGACATCTTGAAGCAGTGAAAAGATGTAATACTTCCAACAATATTTTAATTGATAAAGCGATGATTAAAAAGACAGATTTGGAATGACACCATCAACCTTGTCCACATGGTAAACTAATAAAAGGACCATTATCCAATGGTGGTCCCAACTATCCAGAATGTTGGGAGGGGTGTAATGGATATGAACCTAACCTTTTGGCATTTTGTGCAGTTTGCACAAAGTGGTCATTCCCAGACTTGAACTCATTCTTTCATACTCATCGGCCCAAGATTTTACCATTGCACAAAACAATGGTCCCTTTGTCAAATGGATTAAAAGGACCTGCAGGAATTTCCACCAAATGACCTTTGATGGTTAGACATTCACATTCCTTACTTCTAAGCAGAGAATAGAGAAACCATACCACAAAGAACCACCAAACCAAGTTATATCAAGTGGTTTACCAGGAGAGATATCATTTAGCTTGGGAGAGGGATAGCTGGAAGCAATGGTCAGCCCCACTGAAATTGGTAATTTGGTACTTGATGACCTTTATCTTGTTTAACCTTCCTATTTTGGTAATTGGTTCTGATATTGTCACCTCTGCAATGTGGAATTTTGTGTGTGAATTAATTATAAAGTGATAGACCTTTCTTCTATTTGTCTCTTTATATTTTTTTCCTGAGTGGAAATAGAGAAGAAAAACAGAATCCTTTGGGTATCCTCAAGCAAGGTTCAAAGTATTGACACATATCGGCCCATATCAACTGATACGTATCGTTCCGGGACCTCTCCGATATGCCCCTACAGTGCGTGTATTGGGGGTCTGACCGGTTCAGGGGGGTGGAGGAGCCCTAAACTGGCCACCCTGAACCCGTTTTGAAAAAAAGTTAAAAAAAAAAGTATCAATATCGCCCAATACGCCCCTATCGGCGTATCGGGCGTATTGATATTTTGAACCTTGTCCTCAAGAACCATGTCTATATTATGTGTGTATATATGTGTTTCATACTGGACATGGCTACATATCAAACTAAGGTATACTTAAAATAAAAAATATATCAGAATAAAATGATAATGATATTAAAATAAGAAAACATAAAATTCTGAAGCATTAGCCATATCCCTACTCCTTGAGATTTGGATGTGAAACTTTCACTTCGTGGACTGATGGAAATCAAAGCAAAGTAAAGCATACAACAAACAATTCAGATATCCTACCCACATGCTGTACATTGGGAACATCTCCCCATGGATAGTAACATGCAGATACGGGAGATGTTCTCAATGTACAGCTGAGGCGTGGGTAGGTGTGGGTAGGGGTTCTTGTGGGTAGGAGATCAGAATTGTATAACAAATGGCACCTAACAGTGAAACGACAGTGATGGAATCATTGAAGAAGAATTCTATGAATTTCCAACAACCTTTCGCTTGAGAATTTGGAAGGTAATTGAAAATAAACTGACAGTGTGTATATAAACTTAACAGACAATTCTAGAACAATCAACGATACATATGGGCACTTTTAGGGATCTCCAAAGGAACAATCAGCGATAACAGAGTAAGGCATTATATATTCCACTTTGCAGTAAACGATCAAATTCAAGAATAAAAGGGTTTTGGCTCCAGATCGATGCTACTTAGGTTGCATGGACGAGACTCTATATTCCAAACAAACTACAAGACTCTAAACAAAATTCAAATCATACCTTGATTAGTGCTATGTTAATAGTTACAGGAATGTGACTCTGCAATCAAAAATGGTGCCTCGGTGGTCTGGTCAGCTAAAGCGGAAAACATGGGAGTAAGGAAAAAAGTAAGAGAGAGAGAGAGAGAGAAATAGAGGAAGAATAAGAAGATGAAATGGGAGAGAAAAACCGGAGTGAAGGACTTACCTCGCCGGAATACGGTTCAGTTCGGTTCTTCAGAATGCAGCCGGTGGAGGAGTGAGTGACGAGAGATTGTGGGAGGGAGGGTTGGAAAATTGGAATCGAGTAAGGAGAAGGATTTGTGAGGGGGTTGTTATTTGACCTTTCTTTTTTTTTTCTTTTTTTTTCTTTTTTTTTTGGGGGGGGGGGGTAAATTGCTGAAAGCTCACCTGAAATTTTAACCATTGCTAAAACCTTCCTGATTTTTTTTTTAGCAATATTTTAAAAACCGATCCGGAGGCCGAACCATTTTTGCCTCCGAGTCGTAGGTCACCGGTTTGACTAGACAGTCAAACAGTTCAAACCGTGCCATGTCATCATATATATGTGTTAAGTATATATATTTACTTAATTAATTATATATATGTATATATGTACATATATGTATATAAATGTATATATTTTAAACATGTTATATATATTTTTATATTTAATTTATGTTTTTTAATTCAGTTTTTTATTCTTTTTATTTATAAAAAAGTATTTAAATTTGCATTGTAAGGACAAAAAGGGGGATTTGTGAAAATAGCGGGGCAAGGTGCTTATGGCTCCTTGGAACGCATAGATCTTAAAAAGTTACCCAAAATGAAAAAAAAAAACAATCGGACATCGAAGTGCAAAGTTATGGCATCCGAAAGTTTGCATACATTGAGTATGCAACTTGTGACCCCATGATCGAGTCGAATGGGTCATCGGTCGAACCAGCTGGGTCAAACTATTCTTAACCAAATCAATAGTTTTTTACCATCTGATGGGTCCTGACTAAATCAAACCCAAAATCCTAGCTGGGTGACGGTTCAAAGAGTCGATCGGCCAAATCAATGCATTGAAAACATTGATTTTTAGTGATACACACTCCACTAGTAACCAAGTTCGGATGTCCTTACAAATTGCTCCTCACAGCACGTCCTAGTTGTACATTGGGCATATCTCCCATGCTTGTATATTATTATTCATGGGAGATATTCTTAATACACAACTGATTTATGCTGTGAGATTGGTGTGAGGAGTGCTTTGTAAGGAGCATACACGAACTCCTAATAAACCCCCTCTCCCCAAAGTCTTTTTTTTAGGGTAATAAACGAGGATATCATTACAATAAAGAAAGAAGGCCCAAGGTCAATACATCAAAGTTACCAAGCGATGGCAAAAGCATGACGGGGATGGAGGAGCCATTCCCCTTTACAACACCTTTGAGAAGCAAGAAAATGAGCAATAAAAATCAACTCCCTTGTTAAATAACAAAGAATAACAACATAAAAAAAAAAGCTAAGTTCTACCTTGATATCTAACGAAAAAGACCTGATTTCCCACGGAGGAGAGGTTGAGTCACTTGTTAATCATGATCCAAAGTTAAATGGAATCTGTGTCTATGCTGGAGCAAACCAGCTAACTTAGCCACCCCTCATTAACCTCCTTCTAAGTTTGACAATTATAATCACTTATCCTGAACTTTCTAAGGGAGCGTTCTTTTTCAGGATTTTGAGAGGGGGGAAAGTTGGTCAATGGAATTTTGGTTTCCATTGACCAAGAATCCCATGTTATTTTCTTATATTTATGTGGGGATCAGGGAAAGTTTATTTTCCTGGGTATTACTTACCCATGATACCTATCTCCTAGGTGGGTAAATAACTTTCCCACTTGGGTGAAGGTTGTTAACACTTGAATGAGACAAAAATGCCCCTTTTAATAATAGATTTTTATGGCTAAAATGGTCATTGCCTTATTTACCTAGGAAATATAAGAACATGGGTAAATGCACTTACTCAAGTAAGTATTTCTTAGGAAAAATTTACCCAAGTAATTGCATTTACCCGAGTAAGTAACTTATCGAAAAGCGAACGGAGGCTAAAAGTAGATCCCTCTATTAGAATCCTCTAACAACAACTACTAAAAAAAAGTCTAAAATGGCCATGCAATTACTATGAGGTTGGTTTTTGCCAAAAAAAAAAAAAGGGTAAATCTCTTAAACTACCCCTATTGTTCACGAAATTGACAAACTATATCCTTATTGTTTAGATATTGTCTTACAGTACCCTGAAGTTTTCTGACAATTAACATTGCCATTGAGTGCTAATGGAAGAAAATGAAATATCGAATTTATCCTCCAATATTCCTCAAATTCCATCCCCTATTTCACTATCCGCATCTACTTTCTCTCCATTCTTAGACCTTCCCCTCCACCTTTGGTCTCTCTCTTCTTCTTTCTCCGTTCATAGACCTCCCCTCCGCCTCTGAAATAATTGTGGGGATGATGAAGCAGGGGCGATAGTGTAGCAACGACGGTGATGAAACAAGGGCGAGAGGGAATGGGGGAAAGAGAGATAATGAAGGGGAGGAAGAGAGAAAGAGAGGGAGGGAGCCCTTCGTCGGTGGCTGTCGTCGCCTGCGACGGTTGTGCCGAGAGGGAGAGAGAGAATGAAGGGCTTGTTGCAGGCACAACCGTCGTTCTCTCTCCCTCTCGGCACAATTGTTGCAGGCGACAACAGCCACTGACGAAGGGCTCCTTTCCTCTCTTTCTCTCTTCCTCCCCTTCGTTCTCTCTCTCTCTCTTTTCATCACCGCCACTGCTACAACGGTGGACCCCTCCACGCACTCAGATATAGATGGCCAAGTTTTCTTCTCTTTCTCCTTCTTCCTCTGCTTCTCCTTCCTCCATCTTCATCTCTGTTCATCGTCTTCTTGACGGTGAACAGAGAACTACCACTGGCATCATCATCTTTAGAGAATGTCCATCGTAGAGAGAGAGAGAGAGAGGCCAATTCTAGGTTGACGAGAAGGAAAGAGGGTTGACTCTAGCACCGACAACCGTGTGGCCATCGTTGCTTGTGACAACGATACCAAAATCATCGCCACCATTGCAACTTCCAACAACAGCGATAAACAATAAGGGTATGACGTCACATGTGAATGGAATGTGATGGAAAATTAACGGCAAGGGAGGTTTTAAACAATTGTTAGAAAACTTAAGAGTACCACAAGACAATATCTAAACAGTAAGGATACAGTTTGTCAATTTCGTGAACAGTAGAGGTAGTTTAAGAGATTTACCCAAAAAAATACAAACTTTACAAATAAAAAAATAAGAGTTTAAAGTTACAACTTTACCTTTGAGCAATCTATGTGAAGGAAAATTTGGGAAAGTAAAACAAATTTTGAAAAGAGATTGGAAGGATTTGGGATAGTGATTGATGTGAAAATAACATTTGAAAAATAAACATTTTGGTCAAAACTGACTGCATGCGAGGTGATTACAATTTGGACATTTCACGCCTCTTGTTAAAGAATTCTAACAAAGTAAATCTACTTGCAACTATATTAAAAAGTTTAAGGGAGGTGATTACAAATACCAAACTTCACGGGAGGTTTAAGATGACGTGAGAGAGAGAGAGGGAGATGCATACCAGTGTTGTAACAATTGTTAAGTCTTATTCTATATTCAGATGATGTGGCAAAATATGATTGACAAATTCATGGGCATCATGGACCAAACGGTCCACTTGTGGATTTGCTTACAACAAAAACTATCACAACATGATTTTAACATGAAATGTGTCTGCACATCTCACGACCCACCATATATGTGATGCGTGGACATAGATTAGGGCTTAGGGTTTAGGATTTACGATTTACACATGAAAATCAAGAGGTGGTAAGATGCTTTCACCCCGACCATGGTAGGAGCCAAGTATTGCCAGAGTTTGGTTGGGTTTAGGTTGAACCAAGGCCAAACCTAATTTATGGGCTATATCCCAATCTCAACGTAATTAGAACTCGATCTAAAACAAGAGGAAGGTCATCCAAATGTAGAAGGGCCAACTCCAGCCCAAAATAGTCGGATCTGAATTTGTGTTTTATAAGTTTGGAAACCAAGAACTTCTGAAGGCAATCAGACCAGTTGAAAATTTTTGTTTAGGGATACAATCAAATCGAGCTCTAATTGAATAGTTAGGGCTCGAGTTCAATTAGGCTCAATTCAAGTTCAATTTGAGTTGAGTTTGAATCTCGAGATAGGCTTGATTAGTTATTCAAATTTGAGCTTAGCCAATAAAAAGTTCAGCTCAAAAGCTTATAAGCTTGTTTCGATTAATACATACATACATACAATACAAAAATATATTTTATATTCTACATATAATATAAGAATATATTATATATCATAAAAACATATCATGTATATATTAATAAGATATAAAAATACACTCATTTCAAGCTTTTGAGCTAAACTTAAACTCATAAATTATTTAATGGAACTGAGCTTGAACTAGGAGATAGAGTTCAAATCAAACTCATACCTAAAGTCTAATAGTATTTTAGTTTAAATGAGCCAAAAAATGTAGAAGTTCAGCTCAACTTGGCTCGATTAAACCCCTTTTTTTTGCTTACCCAACTCAAGTGAGTATAGATATTTAATCAAGCTTTTGGAAGGAAGAGTTATAGAGTTATCTAATTGAGCCCAGATAGGCCCATTTGCACCCCACCATGACTAGGGGTGCAACTTGCATTAGACTGATCCTGAATTCCAACTATGTCTTGAACATTAAATTGGTTTTGGTGAAGGTCATAAACATTAAATTCGAATATATAATATTAATTTATATCTTTTTCTTGAACACGTGTATAAAACCAAGCGTATAACACATGTCCATACTCAGGTTATTTAAACAAGTTAACTAAAGCTTCTTAAGAGATTAAGAGATTAGGTTAAACAATTTTTAACGTGTTTGTCTCAATACATGTATAGGTGGAAAGAAGGTTGTCCGTCATTTTCAATACTTTGAATTCAAATAAAATCAACCGAAAAAGTAATTTTTTTAGGTGTTTATGAATCTTTCTACTTAACTAGTTATCATAGTTTCTTACATGGTTTTCAAAACCAGATCGGGCCGGATGGTTGGACCGAAAAAACCGGTAACCGTTCAGCCCCTGGGTCTGGTTACTATAAACTGTTACTTCTTAAATAACCGTTGAAAATGTCAAAAAACTGTTGACTCGGGCGGTCGAACCACTAAACCGTTCGACCTAGGTAGCGGTTCGCAAGTTGCGAAATTTATTTTCGTTGGATTAAAAACAAAAAAAAATGACATTCATGTCCCCAATTCCAGCCTT